AACAGTGTGATGTGGCTACAAAAAAGGCTAATGCTATTTTAGGCTGCATTAATAGAAGTATAGTTTCCAAATCCCGCAAGATGCTAGTCCCCCTCTATTTAGTACTGGTTAAACCTCATCTTGAGTATTGTGTCCAGTTCTGGACACCACACTCCAAGAAGGATGCTAACAAATTGGAGCAAGTTCAGAGGAGGGTAACAAGGATGATCAGGGGGCTGGAAACCAAGCCTTATGAGGAAAGGCTGAAAGAATCCACCATGTTTAGCCTTGGAAAAGGAGGCTGAGGGGTGTAGCACTTTTCAAATATTTGAAAGGCTGTCATACGGAGGAGGGACAAGATTTGTTCTCAATTATCCCAGACTGCAGGACACGTAACAATGGGCTCAAGTTAAAGGAGGCCAGATTTCAGCTGAATATCAGGAAAAACCTCCTAACTGTTAGAGCAGTAAGACAGTGGAACCAGTTACCGCGGGAGCTGGTGAGTGTGCCAACACTGGATGCATTCAAGAGAAACTTAGACAACCACCTGGCAGATATGTATTCATGTGTTAAGCAGGGGGTTGGACTAGATGGCCCTTCCAAATTCACTTTTCTATGATTCTATGATAAACACTTAAGAACTAGGTTTTAAAAGAGCTCAAAAATAACCAGTGACAATCAGTCCTACATAGTGGGAAAATCTCAGCAGGCAATCATCTAGAAACCCACCACCTCCTTGGAAGTCTGAAAAATGACACCTTGACTTTCCCTCCATTGCTTGAGGATGACAAAAAAGACCCATGCCTGGAAAACGGAGGTGACTGGACCATCTAGTCTCCCAATCAACATCCAAAAAATACCATGGTGACCATGTAGAAGACTAGCTGTATAAAGTCCATTTGAACTTGAACTTATCTCATTATTGCCTGTATGCAAGCTACATGTACCTGTAAGATCTATACACATCCCACTTTAGGGTTGCTCCATCTATGACTACCTGAAAGGCAACTTCTGTGACAGATAAGCTTTCCATCCCTTACTAATGAAGTTGTCAATTAACAACAGATATGCAAAACAACAACCTACTACAGTATTAACCTGTCTGCACTGCCAGCATGAAAAGTGTACAAGGTCAAAGTGAACAGATAAATAGGACTTCTCAAGATAGAAAGTTGTATTTGTTCTTGTTGTTCTCTAACAATCCATTTCTAAAACTAGATACTCTATATTGTTACTGCCTTCCTATGCTATACTAAACGTAAGAGGGTTAGCCACAATAAAAACAAAAAACCCAGAGATGCTAAATTTCACAAAATCTTATAAAACCAAGATTCTTTTCCTGCAAGAAACGCACACACACACACACAAAAGCAAATTTCTGCCTTGGTGAACTCAAAGTCAAATGGTACTGTGGTACAAATCTGTGCAAAATTGCCATTTATTCTCAATCCACGATATTGATCAGGAGGGTGGATACAGATGCATTATTGGCACCATCCAATATTACTGTATCCTGTCCTCATTATACTGCCCCACATGCATTAACTTTCTCATGCAGATAATATCCTTCAAACAGTAAAATCTAATAGCAAAGGTGCTCTCGTATTAGCAGCAGACTTTAACCTGGTCTGTAATTCCAAAAAGGGCCAGAATCCAGTTGCCAGAGCTGCACCCACACAAGGCTGATGACATTTGTCAGCCAGACGTTTTTGTTTCTAATTCTACACTTCCTATTCCCCCCACCCAGTCAGGTTCCAGCGCTCCCCTTGTAGATCCCTTTTTGCCCAAGAAGAAGCATTTGGGAGCCTCAGGATGGGAGAAGTCTCTGATATGCAAAAATCACAGCTGATGGTCCTGATTGTTGCTGTCAAGTGAGGTACATGCACCAGAATAGCTGTCAATATAAAAGAAAAAGAAAAATATGTCCAACAAACATAAACTGGTCAAAATAATTGAACAACATGAAATACAACATGAAGAGAAAAAGCAACAACATATCAGACCCTACAGATAAAATAGGATTTGAATCCCCATTTGGCTATGGAAACTCACTGGGGGAGTGGAACCGGTAAAAACCATTCTTTAAATATCTCAGTTACTTTGAAAGCCCTATTAGGGTTGCTATAAGTCAGTTCTGACTTGATGGCACGGAACATCACACACACACATCTGTTTTTTGCTGCTTTTAGCAGCAGTGGAAAAAAGAGAGAGAGAGAGAGAGAGAGAGCTAAAAGCAGCACAGCTAGAAACTCCTGAAACGCATAGAAAAGTTTTCCTGGCTTGGGAAAATTGCTACTGTTAAAGTGAACATCCTCCCAAAACCGACTCATCTGTTCCAAACACTACACACTACACTCTCACCAAAATTCAATCAGAACTGGCAAAAATTAATCAATAGATTTTTTTCGAACAAAAATATAAAGATCATTAATATACTTACCAACTGATAAAGGTAGTATACCAGACACAGAAAAGAACTAAAAAGTCTTTCAAACATGAAAAATGCCAGCACTGCATCACAATGGAAACAATTAATCTTTACCTCCCCAAACTTCTCAATACTCAAAAATATCAATACACCTCTTTTATTTACTACTATGCAATCCTGGAGTAAATGATTAAAGAAACTATTATCCAAATAGTCTTCTCTCATTTTTTTAACCTTTATTCTACCATCAAGGCAAACCCTTCTCATTTAAACATTGGAGGCAAACAGATTTGTACGTGATCTGTGACTTTTTTACCTGACTGCCCAACCGCTTAGTGAACAACACATCAAAGACAAAACCA